GTGTGTGTGTGTTTGCTGAGAGTCAAAGAACAGGCCACAGCTCTGGTGTAAAGTAACCTGCAAGGTCTCCGATGGTGAGCCTTGGGAATGTTTGTATCCCCGACGCTTTTTCACTCACACCCATCCTGCCTGGAAAATACAAGGGCGGGGGACGGACAAAGATTTTCTTGTACCCAAGGCCGCATATCACTACAGGCTGTGTGTATGCGTGTGTATGTGTGTGTCCTTGTCCATTTACTTGTCGGTTAATGTTAGCACACGCGGGCATTTTTCCAACTCTCGATCATTTACTGAACCAATTTTTACGCACACGGTGGCCGTGCGTAAAAGTGACAAAACAAACGTACAGTGATGTGAAATGCTTTCCCCCCAGAACTGCTGCAACAAAAGCCACCAGGGAGTAAATATAAATTAATATCACATCATTAATGTCTCATGTTGTCCCTATTATCCAGAGGGAGAGAAAACATATGAGCGAGATCAGTTCCACCACAAAAATCACGTCAACGACAACTGCTGTTTCTGGGTCAGTTCATCAGCCTTCCATTGAATGCATTATTCAAACTTTCCAAGTCCATATTTAAAATTAAGAAGGAAGAACCTTGTGGTAAAACCTTTAACTAGTCTTTACGCACTCTTAAATTCATTCGAAACTCACCGATTTTTTTTACTTTTCATTTTACTATTGTTCATTTCTAGTATGTTAAACACGTAGACGCAGACACACACGTACACAACCACTGTACAGATGTAAACCACCCCTGTTTGCCACCTCTCCCCACTGAGAACCACATCAGCATACAGAGTTCTCCTGTGAGCCTGTGCGCCATCATTACGCACGCTCTAAAACGCATATGTTGGGGGCGCTACACGAAAGTGCACACAACTGCGCGCGTGCACACTCGCGGCATCTCACTCAGTCTGTGACGCCACCACCGTCGCGCGGTCCGAACCAGCCACAACAACGAATCTCAGATATCTCAAACACACCGGAGCCTCGCGGCACTCAGCGAGCGCGTTAATGCAGCAGCACTACACAGTGAGTGAGTGACATGGTAATTACACAGCTCTCTCTCTCTCTCTCTTTCTCTCCTTCCACAACCCCCCCACCGCTTCCCTCTCTACTTAGCTCCCACTTACAGGCAGCCTTCAAACACTACTTACTGTACGTCCGGGCTCTTTCTCTCCACCGGGTTTTCCCAGAGTCCAGAGCGGCACAGACCGAAGCTTGCCGGGCTTCGCGTGTGAACCGGAGCAGGAACAGCGGCCGGTAGTAGTGGCCTGCTCTCTCTCCCTCTCTAACACACACACTCCCTCCCTCTCCCGCTCTGTCTCTACTTTACTGACCCCTTTAGGATCCCCGCGAAGCCGTTAAACCGTCACTTGCTTTCTAGAATGTGAAATATATAGTACATTGTCAACTCCCCAAAACCATAAAACTAACTTTATGGACCCCACGTGACCAGAGGAGAGCCAGTGAGAGGTATCAGTCTCAGGCCAGGCCTGATCTTTACGATCCAACTTGGAGATAAAAACCCTCATCCGTTTGACATGTAAATGTCAAAGCTGCCTTCTTTTTTATAGTTTAGCCCAAAGCAGAATGGGTTCGCTTTAAAAAATATCTCAGCACACATACACACACACACACACACAGGAGGCAGGAGATAGCGGTTGTGTCCAGATGAGGCTCGGAGCAGGACCTCGTTTCCCCCCCAATCAACTCAGAAATAGAGCCGTGTATGAGCAGGCAAGCTGCAGCAGCATCAGTCGGTGAGTTTAAAAGTTCAGTTGTTGTTTACAGTTGGAAACCGGGAGAGGGTAACCTAATTTGGCCGGGAGTGGCCTCCGTTAGGACGGAAAAGGGAGGCCGTTTAGAGAAAAGTGACCAATTTGTCCATCGCGGGTAGTTTGTTGTCTTGTCAGACCTGGTCAGCAGAGATGAAAATTGGCCTGCATGTGTGCGTCTGTGCTGTGTGTGTTAATGCAGCTTGTTTAGTGATTGGTGAGCATGGCGCTGCGAAGCTACTGAGGTCCAGGAGCTTGTCGCCTTGGAAATGTGGCGGTCAGGGTTGAGGTGAGGCCTGGAAAACAGACGGCAGGCCTCCGGACGGCTGTTCGGTCTGGTGCGTCTTTAAGCAGTTTGGGTTTTCCATCTTGGATCATTTGGTAGTGAAAAGTGAAAACTTGGTAATAATTTCATGAGACTCCAGGTGCGCGCAAGAATATGTAGCTAGTGGTGGAGGAAGAAAACGCGCAGAAGTGTATAAGAAAGGGAATTTTCTGCAGTAGTTGGACTGGAATAGATCCACATATGCTTTAATCCGGATCAAAACACACTCTCCCTGGTTATTTCTCAGCCAAATAGACTTCATAATATGACGCACTAACCCAAGAGTTTGGCAGCTGACAGCTGATGTCATCCCCTGACACAGACTGGCATATGAAAAATAATGATTCACAATCAATTCATACCGCCTACTAGCGCGAGTATTCCAGATTGATATTTCTACCACAGTTTGGGCTCCGGCACATGCTGAAGACTTAACTGGCTTTCAACCCCAGTTAAGCCATTTGTGCGGCAGTTTGGCAGCTGGTCGAGTCTGTCTGGTTTTGATGAGTATGGGGAACTTTATTGTTGTTGTTTTTTTTTTTACTCCAAGTTACAAACAAATACAAAAAGCTCATTGGCAGAAAGCTTACAGGCCTCACAGGACGGTAGCCATTTCCCTTACATGTGTACATACACACACACACACACACATACACTCACTCACACAGGCAAGCACACACACACACACACACACACACACACACACACACACACACACACTCACTCACACACACACACTGCAACTACAAATAGCCAACTGGTCACA